CCGCCATTGGAAGCCAGCCTAGGCAGAAAAGTCTGTGAGACTCCAGCCTGCAAAATGCGGGCCTGGAGGTGTGGCTCAAGTGGTGGAGTGGGCCAGTGGAAGGGGCACTGTCACAGCACACGGAAGGCGCCAGGATGCTCATGGCTGAACCATGGCTATGGGGGGGGGGTGGCAAGGCCATTAGTGGTCCCTTCCTCCCTTACCTCTTCCCTGCAGACACTGGGCCATAAATAGCCGTCCTTCCTCTCTGTGCTCAATTGCCAGTGTGTGAGTCCTCCTTCCCGGCACCACTCATCCCTCCATTCCTGTTGTTAATCTGCCCCATGCCCCACCCCCACCCTGCCAGCTTCCTAGGCCCTGTCTGTCTCTTCTGAGTCCCAGTGCTGACCCCCTATTCTTGCTGTCCCCTCCAGCTTTCTCCAAGAGCCAGAAGCCTGGGGAGCCACCAAAGCTGCAAGGAGGTGCAGGGGGAGGGGGGGAGAGAGACCCTCCAGGCTGCTGCCCTGCCAGCACGGTTGGCAGCTCTGATGCCCCACCCCCACTCCAGCCCACTCAGAAGCCCCAGTTTCCAGAATGCCACCTCTGTCACTCACCCCACTAGTCCCTCGCTGCCATGGCTCCTACTGTCTGTAGGAAAAGCCTCTGGATCGTCTATCTGATGTCCTCCCTCGCTCACCTGGCCCAGCTCCCCAGAACTGCCTGACCCCCTACACCAAGTCCCTTTCCCCTGCTTGGGCCTCGCCACCAGAGTGCTGTGGTCAGGGCTAAAGGGTCATCAATATAAAAGCCAGTAGGCCGGGCTTGACGGACTTATGCTTGCAATCTTAGCTCCTTAGGAGGCTAAGATCTGAGGTTTACAGTCCAAAGACAGACTGGGCAGGAAGATCCATGAGACTCTTATCTCCAATTAACCAGCAAAATTCAGAAATGGAATTCTGGCTCAAGTGATAGAGTGCCATCTTTGAGTGGGCAAAGCTAAGGGAGATGGTGAAGCCCTGAGTTCAAGCCCCAGTACTGGTGCGGGCGCGCGCGCACACACACACACACACACACAGGCCAGACTTCCCATGGCTCTTTTAACATCTGCACAGCCCCTGAGATCTCCCAACTATGGGAACTTCTTTTGTTTGTTTTTTTGGGTCCGGTCTTGGGGCCTGAACTCTGGGCCTGGGCGCTGTCCCTCAGCTCAAGGCTAGCGCTCTACCACTTGAGCCACAGCACCACTTCCGGCTTTTTTCTTTTTGCTTATGTGGTGCAGAGGAAGTGAACCCAGGGCCTCAGGCATGCAAGGCAAGCGCTCTACCACTGAGCCACCTTCCCAGCTCTTCACTGCTCCTGTCTTGTGCGATATTGCCAACTACTGGCTCAGTCCGATCCCACTCTATCCCTATCCCCCTCCATGTTGTGAAAGACACGGAACTGGGGGTCATGAGAGCGAACCTTCTAGACTCAAAGATCTCTACAGAAATAAGACCCAATGAAGTGATTAACATACCACCAGGCAAAAACCCAGCTCTTAGCAGGGTGCAGTGGCTGTAAATCCTAGCTCCTCAGGAGGCTGAGATCTACGACAGTGCTGGGCCGAGAACCACCCAGCTTCTCTGGAAGTCTGTAAGCTCTTTAAGGAAGGAAGCCATTGGAGTCTTCCAGGGTGGAGCTTGAATGGTAGATTTCAGCCCCGCCCCCGCAGGTATGTGGGCGTGGCCCCGCTAGGACACACCCCTTTCCCTCTCATTGAATGGTGGGTTTTCAGCAACCCCCCCCTAGGCGTGTGGGTGGGGCCCCTCTAAGCCACGCCCCTTCCCCTACTCCCCCCCCCCTGCGCTCCCAGCCGCCCACCGCTCCCCCTGGGGCGGTGACTTTGCTGGGTCGGAGACCCTTCCCTTTCCAGCTCGGCTGGGAGGGTGGGCGGGGGTGAGGGAGGCTCTCTGCGCCGGCCCAAAGCCCGGTCCTGGTTCCAAGCTCCAGGACATCCGAGCCTCTCCCGCCCCCATTGGCACCCGGAGCCGAGAGGAAGGAAGACCGAGGCGCGGCACGCGGAGGGCGGCAGGTGGGAGGGCTGCGAGCGGGAGCAGGTGGGAGAAGGTGAGTCAGCGCTCTGCAGAGCTGAGCCGGGGAGCGGGAGCTCTGCAGCGCCGTCCTGCATCTCGGGTGGAGCCGCCCTGCAGCTGTGCGCTCGGCGCGCCCCGCCGGAGCCCCTCCCGGGAGACAGCCTCCGCCACACCCCGTGTGCCTCGAGGAAAGGCCTGGCTCTGGTCTAAGTGACCCTCCTGTGTCCCACGGGTCACCTAGCACGGGGTGGGGGAGATGGGGGTCATCTCAAAAGAATCCACGAAAGCAGGCACCAGAGGATCCAGCTACTCCCGAGGCTGAGAGCTGAGGATCGCAGTTCAAAGCCAGCCAAGCAGTAAATCTGTGGGACGCTTATTTCCAAGTCACCAACAAAAAGCCAAAAATGGAGGTTTGGTTCTAGTGGTTAAAGTGCTAGCCTTGAGCAGAAAACAGCAAGGGAAAGGCAGCAGGGTGCTTGAGACCCAGAGTTCAAGCCTCAGTACCAATACACACATGCTAAACACACACACACACACACATTTGAGGAAGTGGCAAACTGTAGACAGATGGAAGAGGCCTGAAATGACCCCCCTCTGTATTTCTCCTCCAAAGTCCAACTCCTTCCCTACCCCATGGCCAGTTCCAGGCAAGGTGGGGGCACTGAGCCAAACCATCAACGCTCTGCTTCTTGCCTGACACCAGAGCTTCACTGGGGGCAAAGAGGGCAGGAGAGTAAGGCACAGGCCAGGTCCTCTCCTGCAGGGCTGCAAAGAGGGACATCCCTGATGAGCTACCAGGCCAGGTGAGAGACCTCAGGGTGCTCCTGAGAACTTGGGCCACTGGGTAAGCTGATGTCCAAGTGGCCCTTGTAGGCTCTTGGAGGCACAGGAGCTTCTGGGAAATCTTGAGACAGGGAAGAAAGCAGGTGGCCCTGTCCCCTCCCTGGGGAGGGAAGGAGTAGACAGGCAGGCCTCTGTGCCTCTGCCACTCCTGCCCTTGGTGCAAGCCAGTTTCGAGTTCCCTGGGCCTGACTTTTCTGTTCTGTCTAGACTATAAGGACCATAGAGAAGACCATAGTGCTTGTTCTAGTTCTTGTTCAACTGTTGAGGCATGCAGGATGTACAATATTTACTCAAGGGCCTTGGAATATGGTCATTCACGGAGTGCCCACTGCACTTCAAAGAAAGTGAGTTCACTGCTGGTTCTGGGCATCCTGAGGTAGCTGGCACCTGGGCACAGAAGATTCTTAAGATCAGGGACGGTGCTTTCTACTTTCCTACAGCCCAGATGCTGGGTAGAGACATGTGGAGTAGAATGGGAGCCAATGAATCTGTGTGTGTGTGTGTGTGCGTGCGTGTGTGTGTGCGCGCGCGCGTGCGTACTAGGGCTCGAATTGTACTCTTGCTTGACTTTTTCTACTCAAAACTGGCCCTCTACCATTTGAGCCACACATGGATTCTGGTTTTTGTTGCTGGAGGTAGGAGTCTGTTTGTCTTCCTAGGTTTGAAAAGAGATCCTCAGACCTCAGCCTCCTGAGTATCCTGCTAGATGTGGCGGGTAGATCAGGCACTGTTCCCTCCTGCTGGGCATAACCTTGCCAAGGGACTTCACCACTTTCCCACAGGCGGAGTTTAATCCCGCCCTTTGGCCAATGGGATGCACTGGAAGAGAAACTATACAAGTTCAAGTGGAGGACTCCAGAGACCCTGTATCTTCTGCTTTCCTTCACCATGATTGCCTTTGCTGTGGCTTACTGAAGGAGGGGAAGCCCCCAGAGGAAAAAGGAAGCCCCCCCCCAGACAACACCAGCTCACCAGCTGACATGTGGGCGAGGCCGTCTTAGGGACAGCTGAGTTGTGGCAGCCACTTGGGTACAGCTGTTGGAGGAAGCCCAAGAGAATTGAGACGGGGAGCCCCTGGCCCACCCACAGGTCCTGGAGAAAGAATAAATTGTTGCTGCCTGAGTTATGGGGCCGGTGTGTTACACAGAGCAGGCTACCAACAGCCTCTCCGCGAGGAAGCCCAAGTCTGGACTGTAATCAACTCCAACTGGTGGTCCTGTCAGTGGCCTGCAGGCAACATTAGCTCTGTGTGTGTGTGTGTGTTTCTGTCTGTCTGCTGTCTGTGTGGCAAATTCAGTGGGTCCTTCCCAACACCTCCAGGTTTCAGTCGAAGCTTTGGGTTCAGGATCAAGTTCCCTGATGTCCACTCAGGGTGACCGTGAGGGGATCAGCATCTCAGAAAGGAGCCCACACACGGACACGCTCACACGTGCACTCTCCATCGCACCAGCCTACCCATCCCGGACCACATCCTTTATTAAAAATAGAGAGTTACAAACTCCTTATCATCCTGGAGGACTGAAGGGGCCACAAGGAGAGGGAGGGGCGGCCCTCGCCCTGCCTCTTTGGGTCCCACCTCTGCTCCCAAACCCAGCACCATTCGGAAACCAAGATGGCTGGCTGCGAGCGCCAGAAGGCCAGCCAGCTGGGTCAGGTCAGGGCTGGGCCTGGGGGGAGAGGGGGCGGGAAGGACACAGAGAGGACGCCATCTCCTTGTCCTACGGGTCAAAATGGCAGAGGTGGACTTGGTGTCTCCATCTCGCTCTGTTCATAGCTATGTACAAAAGGAAGTCATGAGCACAGACCACAGTCATGCAAAAAAGGAACGCGCCCGTCCCTCCCCCAGGCCCACCCTGCCCACCCAGAACCCCATGATAGCCACCCCCCCCAGCAGTCCAGCCGCTGTCCCCAAGGTTCTGAGAGCAGAGGGGCCGTGTCCTTGAAGGGTCAGTGGGGAGAGGGAGGAAGGCCTGGGGGCCCAGAACTACCAGGAGGAAGGGCTGGCGAACCTGAGTCCTCCTCAGCCCTGGGCTCTGTAGTCTTAACAGGAATGAGTCCCCCCCTAGTCTTTGAGGCCCCCTCCCACCTTCCTCTAGAAGGTGAGTGTGGGAGAGAAGTCCTGGCATCCCACAGGGGCAGAGGCTCTGGCGGGAAAGGAGGAGGAGGAGGCCTGGAGGTCAGATGGCAGACTCCCTGCGGTAGGAGATGTTGTCCAGCGGGAGGGTGGCTTGCATGCGATCCAGATCTAGGTGGCTGCCAAACTCCAGCATTCGGATGATGCCCGCCTCCTCCTTGGAGCCTGCCTCCAGGCCCAGGCCTGCAGCCACGGCTGCCGCTGCGGCCGCCGCCTCCTCCTCCATCTCCTCTTCCTCCTGGCTCATGAGGGCCAGCTCGTTCTCGTAGCAGAAGGCACTGGGCGGCGGCGGCGGCGCGGGCAGCACGGTGATCTTGCTCTCCTGCAGCTCCCGTGCCGAACAGCAAGGCGTGCCCGCCACCTCGTAGGTCTTATGGAAGCGTGAATAGTCTACCTTGTAGTGGCTCTTCTCCTCAAAGACCACGGGCTCGAAGCGGTGGCCCCACAGGATCTCGCTGGCCAGGTAGGAGCTGCGGGCCTGGGTGGTCATGGCGGTGGCTTCCACCATACCCTCCAGGATGACCACGATCTCGAAGTCCTCCGACTCCAGCTCCTCCTTGCCCATGCCGTACAGGGGACTGTCCTCGTCGATCTCGTGGACGATGATGATGGGCGACACTAGGAAGATGCGGTCCAGGCCGATGTCGTAGCCCACATTGAGGTCCCGCTGGTCCAGCGGCAGGTACTCCCCCTCCTGGGTCATGTAGGGCTTGATGAGCTGGGCCCGCACGTGGGCCTCCACGATGTGGCTTTTGCGCAGGTTCCCCACGCGCCACATGAGGCAGAGTTTGCCATCACGCACCGAGATCACCGCGTGGTGGCTGAACAGCAGCGTCTGCGCCCGCTTCTTGGGCCGGGCCATCTTGGCCATGATGGTGCCGATCATGAAGGAGTCGATGACGCAGCCCACAATGGACTGGACCACCACGGCGATGACGGCCAGCGGACACTCCTCCGTCACGCACCGGAACCCGTAGCCGATGGTGGTCTGCGTCTCCACGGAGAACAGGAAGGCGCCCAGGAAGCCGTTCACGTGCATGATGCAAGGCTTGGGGACCGGGCCTGCTGCGCCACTGCCCGAGGAGCCCCCGGCGGTGGCGGACACCGCGGGGCTGGCCTCCAGGTCACCGTGGAAGAAGGCGATGCACCAGAAGAGGAGGCCAAAGAAGAGCCAGGAGATGAGGAAGGCTGCGGAGAAGATCATGAGCATGTACCGCCAGCGCGTGTCCACGCACGTGGTGAAGATGTCCGCCATGTAGCGCTGGGACTTGTTGCTCAGGTTGGCGAAGTACACGTTGCATTGGCCGTTCTTCTTGACGAAGCGGTTGCGGCGTTTCCGCCGGGGCACGTGGGCCTGCCCGTTGCGGCTGTGCCCGGGCATGTCCTGAGGCCGGCGTGGTCACCTGGGAAGATGCAGGGCCTGCGGGACAGAGGGGACAGGTGAGGGGCTGGGATGGCGCCGGACCCCGACTTCCTGTGCCCCTGCCAAGGGTAAGGCCAGGCCGATGTCCCCAGGGCTGGCCCAGCCCTGGCCACTAGGAAGTTTAAGGCCACCAGGATCCTGCTCCTAGTTCCCGTCCCTCAAGCTTGGTTGCTCTTCTGGAACATTCCTGACCCCCATCTTGACTCTACCTCCACCCTACGTCTTGTTTGCCTGGAATGCCGGCACCACTCAGGTCCCTGGGTTAGCCTCTACACTTCTGGACATCTCACAATCTGCACGTTCTCCTGTGATGTCCAGTTCAGTAGCCACCCTGTGCCATCCTGGGGCTTGAACTCAAGGCCTAGGTGCTGTCCCTTGGTTTGTTTTGTTTTGGTTGTGGGGCTTGAACTCTGGGCCTGGGCGCTGTCCCTCAGCTCTTCAGCTCAAAGCAAGTGCTCTACCACTGAAGCCACAGCACCACTTCCGGTTTTCTAGTGGTTCATTGGAGATAAGAGTCTCACAGACTTTTCCTGCCCCGGCTGGCTTTGAACCATGATCCTCAGTTCTCAGCCTCCTGAGTAGCTAGGACTACAGGTGTGAGCCACGGGCGCCCAGGTCCCTCAGTATTTTTTAAAAGCTCAAGCCTGGTGTTCTACCAATTGAACCACAGCTCTACTTACAGCTTTTTGGGTAGTTCATTGGAGATAAAGAGTCTCACTGACTTTCCTGCTCAGGCTGGCTTCAAACTGAAATCCTCAGATCTCAGCCTCCTGAGTAGCTGGGATTATAGATGTGACCCACTAGCACTCAGCTTCTCTGTGGCTTTTTATAGCTGATTAAAATTAAACCAAATTTAGCTGGGTGCCAGTGGCTCATGCCAATAATCCTAGCTATTCAGGAGGCTGAGATCTGAGGAATCTGGTTTGAAGCCAGCCTGGGCAGAAAAAACCCTGGGAGAGTCTTATCTCCAGTAAACTCCCCTCCCCCCCAAAAAAGTGGCACAAGTGGTAGAACACTAGCCTTGAACACAAAAGGCTCAGGGAGAGCACCTAGACTTGAGTTCAAGCCCTAGGATCAGCAACAACCACAACAAAATAATAATAATATAAACTTAAGTTTCAGTTCATTTGCACTAGCATGTTCATTTGCACTAGCATGTTCATCTGCACTAGCATGTTGGTGCTTGGTAGCCCCCTGGGCTAATGGCTACCACACAGGCAGGAACAGGAGGGGAGTTCCAGGGACATTGCTGGGTCCCACAGCTACCTCCTAGTCTGAGCTCAACTCTTAGATTCTTCTTTGCCAGGGTTGCTCTGAGCCACTGAGCCCCAGATTCCTGTCCTGTCCCCAAACTTGTTGAGAGCAAGGGTTAGGAAGAACTCGGTATGCTGGTCAGGACAGAGGGAGGGGAAGCTGAAACTTTGTCTCTGTTTAGGTACCACTATCCACAGGAAGCTCAGAGAGGGAAAGTGGCCTTCCCAAGACTACACAGCTGGGAAGTCCCTGGTCCAAACTGAAGGGAGGAGGAAAAGGTGTCAACTTCGATGAGCTCCTGGTACAAAGATTGGAATTGGGAGAGGCAGAGTTAGCTAGGTCACTTCTGAGCCTCAGTTTCCTCTCCTGCAAAGTGAGATAAAAAATTTCTACCTTAGCCAGGCATTGTGGATCACACCTGTAATCCTAGTCAGGAAGCTGAAATATGGGATCACAGGTTCAAAGCCAGCCTGGGCAAGAAAGTCCATGAGGCTCTTTTTTTTTGGGGGGGGGGCATTGATTGTAGAGCTTGAACTTTGGGCCTGAGTGCTGTCCCTCAGCTCTTTAGCTCAAGGCAAGCGCTCTACCACTTCTGGCTTTCTACGGGGTTTCTTGGAGATAAAGAGTCTCACAGACTTTCCTGTCTGGGCTGGCTTTGAACCTCGATTCTCAGATTTCAGCCTCCTTAGTAGCCAGAATTAAAGGCCTGAGCCACTGGCACCCAGCCCATGAGCCTCTTATCTCCAATTACCAAAAAGCTGGAAATGGAGCTGTGGCTCAAAGTGATAGAGCACAAAAACTCAGGGCTGAGTTCAAGCCCAGTACTAGAATAACACACACACACACACACACACACACAGTTTCTACCTCACAAGACCTAAGAAGATAAAAAGCAGCTGCCCTCCGCCTGCTTCCCCTCCCCACTTCCCGGGAGCTGGTGAGAGGCAGGCCTGGCTGTCAGCCTTGCTAAGTTGTGTCAGTCACCCACGGGTGCAGACTCACGGATGAGGCACCCAGAGGGCCGATCCTGTCTCCGGTCCTTCATTGCTACCAAGGTCCTGGGGCAGAGAGTTTGGGGCCCCGCAGCACAGGCAGGGCCAGGACCTGGCCTGAGTCCCTGATAACATTTTGGCCCCGAATTATATAAGGCTGGAAGTTTCTATTTTCTGTTCTATTCTTCTTCCTGATCTAATTGTGCATCTGTGGTAATGTTTATACACTTCCCTGGTTCAGGACAACTCCGTTGCCGCAGCAACCGGTGCTCGCCAATGCTATAATTTAGAGATCAACAGCTTCCAGCCTGCCTCTTCCCCAGAGATACTCCCTCTCCCGGCCCTCCCCCTGCCTCCCCCACAGTCGCCCCTCCAACCCCCCATTTCTTCTCCCGGCTCTGCCCCGCCAAAGGGCTCTCTGGGTCCCCCAATTCTAAGTTGACGTCCCAGATAATGCTGTGTGACTTGGCAAGGCACTGACCGCTCTGGGTCCACTTCCTTATCCAGACCCAGACATTTGGTTCCCTGTAGAAAAATGGCTCTGGTGGCCATGCTGAGAGCTGACGATCGCAATTCAAAGCCATGAGACCTGAGCATCATGCTTCAAAGCCAGACTGGGCAAGAAAGTCTGTGAGATTATCTCCAGTTAGCAACGCTCAAGGCTAGAAATGGTGCTGTGGCTCAAGTGGTAGTGTGCTAGTCTTGAGCAGAAGCAGCTCAAGGACAGTGCCTAGACCCTGAGTTCAAGCTCCAGGACTGGTACCAAAAAGAAAAACGGGCCTTGTTCTGGTCCTCAGAGCTCCTAGCTTTAGCTGGGGTCCCAAACTCTGTCATCTGCCCTGGAGTCCCAGAAGCTGGACTCCAGAGGGCTGTTTGTGAGAGACTGGAGGTGCTGTTTCTGGTCAAAATCCAGCGTTTTTTGGAGAGAGGCCTCCAATTCCTCCCTCAGCACCCCAGACATACAGCCAGCCAGAGGAACGGGGCACTGACACCATGCACGTCTAGGGATGGAGAAGATCCGCTGAGGTTCACAGAGTGAGGCTGGGCTGGCCTGCCCTGGCCAGATCTGTTCACACATCCATCCACTCCTTCCTGGAAGGGCGGGGGGCTAAGAGGGCACACGCGCTGGAGCCCATCGGGCCCAGTCCTCACGAGAGGGAGAGTGGACAGGGCATCGCAGCCCTGGCTTTTGATGGGTGTCCTGAACGCAGGAGAGGAGGACTGTCCCCCCAAACCCAGGTGTGGGAGACCTTCAGTTCTTTGCTCAGGGGACCCGTTCCTGGCCTGGGGGGGGCTTCCCAGGCTGTGGGGGCCTGGGGTGAGGGACTGAAGAACGGGTGCCCCATGAGCGTGGCTGCCACACCTCCCGCTCCAGCCCCAGGCATGGCTCCCACTGAGCCGGCCCAGGGCCAGCGTCAGTCCTGCTGGTCCCATCCCACAGTGCAATGTGGCCACCCCTCCACCCTGTGCCTCCCCTCCAGGTCCCATCGCCATTTCTTCCTGTGCTGGGCCCGGTCTGGGGTGGGGTTGTAGAGCTCCCAGCATGCCCTGGTGCATTACCGTGCCCAGGAGAAAAGCCGGATCCCCAGAGGGGTCCTCTCTGTCACCCATGGCGGCATGTGAGGTCACCCCCACCCCCACCCCCACCCCTGGCTGTGCACAGACTGAGCACACAGCACCTCTCCCAGCCAGCTCAGGGTAGTTTCCTTGTGACCACCACGGGACCGTGGCCAGGGCTTCCTGGAGATGGTACACAGGCCTCAGGGGCAGGAAGGGACATTCAGCCTTAATTTAGATCCATCCGTCCTTAAACACAATGGGCTTTAAGAAATATTTAAGGACTGGGAAGGTGGCTCAGTGGTAGAGTGCTTGCCTAGCCTGCATGAAGCACCACATAAACAGAAAAAGCTGGAAGTGGCACTGTGATTCAAGTGGTAGAGTGCTAGCCTTGAGCAAAACTCTCAGGGACAGTGCCCAGGCTCAGAGTTCAAGCCCCAGGAATGGCAAAAAAAAAAAAAAAAAAATTTCACAGACTTTTCCACCTACGCTGGCTTTGAACCTCGATCCTCTGGTCTCAGCCCCCCTGAGTAGCTGGGATTACAGGTGTGAGCCACCAGCTTCTTAATGTGAATAAATAATCATGCTACACCAGCAACCTTCTCTCCTCCTCCTCCTCCTCCTCCTTCTTCTCCTTCTCCTTCTTCTTCTTCGTTGTGGGGCTTGAACTCTGGGTCTGGGCGCTGTCCCTCAACTCTTCAGCTCAAGGCGAGTGCTCTACCACTTGAGCCACAGCACCAGTTCATTTTCTTGTGGTATATTGGAGCTATGAGTCTCACAGACTTTCCTGCCTGGGCTGGCTTTGAACCGAGATCCTCAGATCTCAGCCTCTGAGTAGCTAGGATGACAGGCGTGAGCCACCAGCGCCGGCCTTTTCGTTCTTCTTTCTTTTAACTTTTCTTAAGCTGTGAACATGAGACACCTGGGAGCCTCTAGTCCAGACCTCACTGGGCAGCTGGAAACAGAGGCCCAAAGCATCGCTGAGCTGGGTGGTGAGGAGGTGGTGTGTGCAGCTCACCTGGCCCTGCCCACTCCAGCAGCAGCCCAGCCCTTCTGAACTCAGCCAGGACCAGAGGACGGAGCTGGGGAAGCCAGCACCAGTGAAGCCTGTCTGATCGATCCCACCACCAGCCTCCCTGGTTTGCAATTGGTGGGACAAGGAGAGGCCACACAGCTCAGTCCCGCCCC